CCTCCAAAAACCTATGGAAGATGAATGCTATAGCCTTGGTAATGAAGAAAACATTCAGCTTTAGGAACAGAACATATTTATTATCCTTCCAGTGAATACAGAATACGTAATCTGGTACATATTTAAGAAAAAAATTGTATCTCCTGCATAAAAACTTATGCCTGAATTGCTCTGGCCAGTAAAACACAAGCCTACACCAACTGGAAGATTTTGCAAATGTACTGAATGTGAAGTTCCAGTGCATAATCTGTGATGGAATTTAGTTAACTGCTTTTTATTTAGCACCCTCCCCCCAAAAAGTCTATTATCCATCTGTTCTAGGTTTATAACTATATGAATAATATACGTTACTTAGTTTGGAAACAGCAGTGAGATGATTCATTGAGTAAGTTCTGTAAGATGAGATGCAAGTTAAAGAGCCACCCACTATTACGCTAGCAAATTGAATATGATGCAGATTTGCCCAGCATCTTTCCTGGAATGCTGAACTGATATCTACCATCTAATACAATATAAAAAGCCAATGTTTGATTTTTAAGGACTTTAACTTACAGCTGAATGCATAATTTAATTGTATAAATTTGCCTTCAGGCCATTATAATCTTGATTTTATTTTGTCCATGCAGTTAAAAGGAAAATGTTAAGCAAAGCATATGTTAAATAAACACTATATTAACTTTTAGCCACTTAACAGTTTAACAAAGGACATACATGTTTGCCCCCCAAATTGCCATGATCAAGACATTTTTGTAGAATGAATTGGTCTTGGCTATGAGATTAAAAATTACAAACCTGCCCTATGTCATTTTGGCATAAATTTAAACCTGCAAACAATAAAATTGAGGTTTTCTGTGGTCAAGTATTCTCATCACTTAGTGCATTAAAGACTTTTATTTTGACCACATTGCATATTTTATGTTGACATAGTAAAAGGGTTCTGGAACCATATGGCAAACTTTCATGCAATTTGATTTGCCTTATGGAATATTTCATGAAGCAATGCAGTAGCATAAATAAGCAGCCACCATTTGTAGATTGCATTGCTGTGTGTCAAATGAACCAAACTTTTATTGCCCATTTTTCAGTCTGAAAAGTATTTCACTTGAGGAATGATAGACAACTTCTTCTTGGCCCCACCACAGGAGAAAAAGATAGATGCAGTAAAAGGAAGGAAGACTCCAGAAATGGTAGGATATTTAATAGTCATCAGCTAAGGAAGAAAAGAGGAGAGAGGAGTTAAGAGAGAATCAACAGAGAACAAGAGCTGAAGATTTGATAACATTAAATGCTATCTCTTACTTTCAATAGTGAGAATGCAGGTGCTAGCTGCTGTTCCTCTATTGTTTACTGCTTTACACATATATTCTCCTTCATCTTCTGGGAACGTCTCTGGTAAGTAAAGGCAGTATGTTTCTCCTCTTTCAATATACTGGTAATCCTCACAGTCTTGCAATATTTCCCCTTCAAACCACCATGTAACCTCTGGCTTGGGTTCACCAGTTATTTTAACAGTAAACCTTACTGGTTCACTGTCCACAACAGATACATTTTTAAGAGGCTTTTTGAACCATGGAGCACCAGAACGTGCTTGCTGTTCTTCATCTTCATAAACTGAGCCATTAACAATACTCCCTTCCTCTTCCTCCTCTTCCTCTTTTTTCTGCATTTAAACAAATTGTGAATATTTTAACACACATTGTGAAGAAATAGAAACTAGGATTGATAACGATTTCAAAAGGCTTGGGTTACCAGTCAGCAGGAGATACTTCAGACGGTAATTCATCTATTATTGAGCAAGCCCATATTTATCTCTTAACAGGTGTAACAAGTTATGCAGTGAGTAGTTATGTCAGATTTCACTTGTTCCATAAGTTAAAAAGGAGTAGCAGACTAAAGTGCTGGAAATCAATGCAGTATAGTAGCATATGATAGAAATGAGTGAGATCTACCTAACTGTAGCAAACATAGACCAGTCATCTTCCAGGCTGATGAGAATAAAATGTGCTAGGGAAAATCTTGAGAATTCTTTAAGCTCTTTAGAAATAAGGAAAGAATTAAAATACAACAGAGTGGAATATAGCATAGAAGAAAAGATGCTTAGCAGAATTGTGGTTGCATTCCAACAGTTTCTTTAGGGCTGCTTTTTCACATATGTGAATGTCATTTATCCAAGGTGGGGAGGGGTCAGTATTTTCAGCAAAACCTATTAACTTTGATCAGTGAGTGCCCTAATCTGGTTACCACAGAAAGATACCTTAAAGGTAGAGTAAATATGTAACAAAATATTGTCTACATGAACATATCCATTCCAGATAAGGATTCCTACTAGCTTACAGGAAAAACTCCATGTATTATGGAGCTGCAGTAGGATACTCATACCTTTTGTAATGCTGCATCTATTTCCTTCTGTTCAAATTGCATACGAAGCAGCTTTTGTTCTTCTATTCTCCTCTGTTCTTCCTCTTCTCTTGCTTTTGCCATTTGTTCAAATCGAGCTTTCATGTCAACTTTATGTGTGAATGGAGCTTCAGATTTTGCAGCAGGCTTCACATCAACATCATCTTCCTGAAAAAAAAGTAAACTTCTAATAGGTAGAAATTACCTTCAGTCTTCCCTTTAAAATAGTTGAATTACATCAACATATGATAAATGTGTTCATTTTTCCTATGTTTATCTCAGATACTACCAACTGTAAAGGAAGTCAATCCTAGCTAACAGATATCTGAACATGCTTTAGTGGAAAAGTGGAGTTTTGATTTAACTTGCCAAATGTAAAAACAAGAGGAGGGCATTGTTTAATAAGCTTAATAAAGAAATAATGGTACAGCTACATAAAAATGGGGTCTATGATTAGTAAAAAAGTGGGAATTAAAATAACACATCATAAAAAGCTGGGCAAAAGAATATTTTATAATAAGGCTTGCCATGTCTTCCATTTAACTTCATTTTAAAAGTAAAAAAACCCATCAACAACCAGGAATTGTACATTAAAAGGAATATACAAATTACTGGATCTTCTAAAACACTGTCCTGGAAAAAAAAAATTAAAAATACATGGATTATGACAACTTCTGAAAAGGAAATTTGTGAAAGTGGAAAAAGAAAAGCTACGCATTTGCTTTAATTAATTTGCAAATAGAATATATGCAAACATTTTAGCAATTGCAACAGCAAAATGTTTTCTAAGTGAAATGAAGTTAGTTATAAAGAAAAAGCTGGGAATGGAGCCATGTAAAGGACTGTTGAGCTTAGGCATTTTTAAAAATATTGACAGCAAATGTTTATGTTCAGTGTGCTTATAATTAGGGAGAGTATTTTATTGGAAATATTTATGTAGGTTCCAGTAGTAATGTATGGCTGTGAGAGCTGGACCATAAAGAAGACTGAGTGCCGAAGAAT